CTCTTCCCAAGTTTTCCTCTACTTCTCTTACTTGCTTTTCAGACTCCTTTTGGAGCTCTTCCATGGCCTGAGACCAATTCATATTTTTCTTGGAGACTTTGAATGTAGGAGCTTTGACTTTGTTGACTTCTTCTGGTTGTATGTTTTGTTTTGTTTAGTTTTGTTTTTGTTTTTTGGCTAGGCAATAGGGTTAAGTGACTTGCCCAGGGTTACACAGCTAGTAAGTGTTATGTGTCTGAGGTCGGATTTGAACTCAGGTCCTCCTGAATCCAGGGCCGGTGCTCTATCCACTGAGCCATGTAGCTGCCCCTGGTTGTATGTTTTGATCTTCTTTGTCGCCAAAGTAAAATTCTATAGTCTGAGTTTTTTTTCCACTGTTTGCTCATGTTCCCAGTCAATTACTTGACTTTTTAACTCTTTGTTAAAGTAGGGCTCTGCTTCCAGTGTGGAGGGTGTACTGTACCCCCAAGCTTCAGGGGTTTTGTGTAGCTGTTTTGAGAGATACTTCTAGGGACCTGTAAATGCTCAGTTCTTCCAAGGTAGTATAATCAAGGGAGATATGTTTACTCCTTTCCTGGCCTGTGCTCTGGTCTATGAGTGATCACAATCACTCTTTTCTTCTTTGGAACTGTGAGGAAGATTCCCTCTCCACTGCCCCCACAAGTTCTGCCATGCCAGCTCTCCTCCTCGCTCCAGGACTTGAACCCACATCCAACCATAGACAAAGCAAGAGAATTCTGCCTCAGTGCCAGCAAGATGAGCCCTGCAATCCTCTTCTGATCAACTGCTCAATCCCCCCACCATCTGTGGGCCGAGAGTTCTGGAAGTAGCTGCTGCTGTCTGCACCCCAGGACTGGGTCTGGACCTTGCTCCTCTCTCAGCGAGTTCCGACAGACCTTCCCTACTGACCTTCTAAATTGTCTTTGGAGTTTGTGGGTTGAGAAGTCTGGAAACCACCACAGCTGCCAGTGATTCAGTCCCCTGAGGCCTGTTCCAGGTTTGCTGGTGCCCATCTTTGCCTGCACAGCCCAAGCTGAACTGTGCTCCTCTCCCAGCCAGGCACAACACACCTTTCCCATCAACTATCCAGGTTGTCTTGGGCTGGAAATTTGTTTCACTCTGTCTTTTTGTGGGTTCTGCAGCTCTAGAATTTGTTTAGAGCCATTTTTTACAGGTATTTGGAGGGGTTTGAGGGAAAGCTCAAGTAAGTCACTGCTTTTACTCTGCCATCTTGGCTCCACCTCCTATCTCTCCTATCTTGAGAAAAAAAAACCAAAACCCTTCATTTGACCCTTCCATCCCCACTATCTGTCCTCCTATATCTCTTCTGCCCTTTGTAGCTAAATTCCTAGAAAGGCTGTTTTTAATAGCTGTCTCCACTTTCTCTCTCCTTGCTCTTTTTTTAACCCTGTCCCATCTGGCTTCTGATCTTATCATAGTGACTAATGTCTAGTCGCCAAATCCCACTGCCTTTTCTTAATCCTCCTTCCCCTTGACCGCTCCTCTGCCTTTGACACTGTTGATCACCTCCTAGATACTCTCCTCTCTCTAGGTTTTCAGGATACCTCTCTCCTGTTTTTCTTTCTACCCATCTGAGTGCTCCTTCTCTGCCTTCTTTGCCAGATCCTTCTCCAGATCATGCCTTCTAACCACAGATTTTATCCTGGACCTTTTTCTCTTCTCCCTCTATACTGCTTCACTTGGTGATCTCATCAGTTCCCATGGATTTAATTACCATCTCTGTGCTGATGATTCTCAAATCTGCTTTTCCTACCTCAGTCTCTCTACTGACCTCCAATCTCACATCTCCAACTGCCTTTCAGACATTTCAAACTAAACTCTGTATGTCCAAAACAGAGCTCATTTTCCCCTTAAATGTCCCCCTATATTCTTCCTAATTCTTACCTTCCCTATTATTATAAAGGGCAAAACCATCCTCCCATTCTCCCAGGCTCACAACCTAGAAGTCATCCTGGATCCCTCACAATTTCACCCCCACCGTATCTAATCTGTTGCTAAAGCCTGTGGATTTCATCTCTCAAATAAGCCCTCTTCTCTCCTCTGACACTGCCACCACTCTTGCACAGGTCCTTATCACCTCACACCTTGATTATTGCCATAACCTGCTGGTGAGTTTGCCTGCCTCCAGTCTCTCCCCGCTCCAGTCCATCCTGTATTCTGCCACTAAGGTGATTTTCCTAAAAAGTAGATCCTATCACATTACCGTTTATTCAAAAAACTTGAGTGGCTCCCAGATCCAGTGGCCTCCAGGATCAAATACAAAATGTTCTGTTTAACATTCAAAGCCCTTCATAACCTAGCCCCTACCTTTCCAGTCTTCTTATGGCTTACTCTCTGACCCATAGTCTTCAATCCAGTGATGTTGGCCTTCTGGCAATTCAACAAACAAGATACTCCATCTCTTGGCTTTGAGCATTCTCTCTGCCTGTCATGCTTGGAATGCTCTCCCTCCTCTACTCTTACTACTGACCTCTCTGGCTTCCTTTAAGTCCCAATTAAAATCCCACCTTCTACAGAAAGCTTTCCCCCAACCCCTCTTAATTCCAGTGCCTTCCCTCTTAATTATTTCCTATTTATCCTGTATATAGCTTGCTTTGCATATATTTGTTTGTGTGTTAGCTCCCCCATTAGACTATAATCTCCTTGAGGGCAGGGACTGTCTTTTGCCTCTTTTTTTGCATCACCAGCACTAAGCACAATGCCTGGCACATTGTAGGTGCTTAATAAATGTTTATGGATTGATGGATTGATTGAAAAAGATTAAGTGGCCTGCCAACATTACAGTCACACATTCAATAAGTGTCCAAGGCATGATTCAAACTCACAAAGTCCAGCACTCTATCTACTAAGCCAACTAGAGGCTTCAATTTCTTTATCTCTTACCTCATGACAGCTCTTCAAATACCAAGGACAACTGGCATGTCCCCCTTTAGTTTTTTTTCTTCTTCAAGCTATATATCCCCTATTCCTTCCACTAATTCCCATACGGCAGTTTCCTGTCTTCCCACCATTTTAGTCTCCTTCTTTTAGCCATATTTGTCTCTCCTAAATGAAGGTACCCACACCTACATTCATTTTTTGTTCTTTTTAAAGATTCATTAATTTATTTATTTTTAGTTTTTAACATTCACTTCCACAAGATTTTGAGTTCCAAATTTTCTCCCCATCTCATGCCTCCCCCAACCCCAAGACAGCATGCATTCTGAATACCCTTTCCTCTAATCTGCCCTCCCCTCTATCTCCCCCTGACCTTCTCTTCTCCCCTTCTTTTTCTATTTTCCTGTAGGGAAGGATAGATTTCTATACCCCATTGCCTGTATATCTCATTTCTCAGTTGTATGTGAAAACTATTTTTTAACATTTGTTTTCAAAACTTCAGGTTCCAAATTTTCTCCCTTCCTCCCTCCCCACCCACTCTCATTGAGAAGGCAAGCAACTCAATACAGTTTATATTTGTGTAGTCATGCAAAACACTTCCATAGTAGTCATGCTGTGGAAAACTAACTATATTCCCCTTCATCCTATTCTACCCCCTGTTTATTCTAGTCTCTCTTTTGACTCTGTCCCTCCTCAGAAGTGTTTGCTTCTGATTACCCCCTCCCCCATTTCCCCTCTACCATCCCCCTGCTCTCTTATCCCCTTCCCCCCTATTTTCCTATAGGGTAAGATAGCTTTCCATACCCAATTGAGTGTGTATGTTATTCCCTCCTTAGGCCAAATCCGATGAGAATAATATTCACTCATTCTCTCTCACCTTCCCCCACTTCCCCTCCACTGTAAAAGCCTTTTCTTGTCTGTTTTATGTGAGATAATTTACCCCATTCTACCTCTCCTTTTCTCCTTCTCTCAATATAATCCTCTGTCACCCCTTAATTTTATTCTCCAGATATCACCCCTTCATCTTCCACTCACCCTATGCCCTCTATCTATCAATCTATCTATAATTTTTTTTCCCTCCAACTACACTAATACTGAGAAAGGTCTCATGAGTCACAAATATCATCTTTCCATGTAGGAATGTAAACAGTTCAATCTTAGTAAGTCCCTTATGATTTCTCTTTCCTGTTTACCTCTTCATGCTTCTCTTGAGTCTTGTATTTGAAAGTCAAATGTTCTATTCAGCTCTGGTCTCTTCATCAAGAATGCTTGAAAGTCCTCTATTTCACTGAATGTCAATTTTTTCCCCTGAAAGATTATACCCAATTTTGCTGGGTAGGTGATTCTTGGCTGTAATCCTATCTCCTTTGCACTCCAGAATATCATATTCCAAGCCCTGCAGTCCCTTAATATAGAAGCTCCAGACCTACATTCAATACTACAGTTGTGATCTAGTCAAGATAGAGGATATTGAAACTATTACTCCTTTGTTCTGAACATTCTGCAACTATTAATGAAGCCTCAGATAACATGAGCTTTTATTGGCTATGACATCATGATGACTCATACTAGCCTTGAGGTCTATGAAAATTTCATTAGATGATAATAATAATAATAAGAGCTAGCAATTATGTAGCATTTTAAGGTTTGCGAAACTCTTTACATTTGGTCTTCACAATTTCAGGAAGCCGGGGCAGCTAGGTGGCACGGTGGATAGAGCACTGGCCCTGAGGTCAGGAGGACCTGAGTTCAAATCCAGCCTCAGACCAAACACTTGACACTTACTAGCTGTGTGACCCTGTGTGTCACTTAACCCCATTGCCTAGCCAAAAAAACCAAAAAAACAAACAAAAAAAAACCGCAATTGCAAGAAGCCACCAGAGAATAGCACACCCAGTAGATGCTATTATTAGTCCCCATTTTACAGATGAGGAAACTGAGGCTTAGAGAGGCTAAATGACTTGCTTAGGGTCACACAGCTAGTAAGTATCTGAGTCAATATTTGAATTCAGGTCTTCTTGACTCCAATTTTAGCATTCTTACTTTTCCTAATATACTAAGACTCAAAATGAAAGCCATCCAAAGCATTTTTTATTTATATGAAGTCTAAAACATCTGAAAGGTTACACTCACAACATTTACAAAAAGCATCTGAAAGTATGACATGTTAACACTATGGACCTGCTGAAGAACCAGGCCGTCTGTCCTTCTCAGAAGCTTTTTAAGAGGTGGGTGAGGTAGGCAGGCCCTATGAACAGCAGTGCTGAAGTCACAGGGGAAAGAGAGCTGCCTGTTCTAAGAAGGTAAACGTGGAGAAACTCATTTTGTGACCTGTGACCTAATAGCCCACTTTGGGCTAGACTCAGTCTCTGAATCAGTCACTGGTAGGGAGGTAGAGCCTAACCAAGGAGCAATACTGAGACCCCAAGAGGAAGTGGGGAATGGCAAGCTGCCTGTTCAACTCCTGAACATTCACCTCAGAGGCCCCGATTTGGGTCCTCCAGTCCCCATAGCCAATGGCTGTTAGAATGAGATATTGTTGCTAGAGACCTATAACCCTGGGTCCAAAAGTCTGGAATTCAATTCAGTTTCACCCCAGGCCTCTAACCCCAGCTTGGTTTGCATCCACAAATGGAGCCATCTTCATATGGGGTATGATGAAAGAAGTCAATTATGTCGTGAAACCCCGGGTGAGTTTCAGGACCGCTTCGTAGGAGACAAAAACCACCATGTTCACAGGGAAGGCTCGACAACAGTTCAGAGCTAGTCCTTTAAACAAGACCCTCACTCCTTCTTCCTTCACACTTTGTGTGACACAGTGAATGAATCCTCGGTACCTTTGCTGGCCCAGTCCATCAGCCTGAAGACGAGACTTGATCACATCCATGGGAGTGGCCACAGCCCAGGCCAGAGCACCAGCGCAGCCCCCAGACAAGAGCACACCCAGGATGTCTGCAAAGGAGAGACAGAAAAGGCACTCAGCACCACATTCATTTTACAGAGAAGGGAACTGTTCTAGGTCAAAGCCTCATCACCTGGATGATTACAATAGCCTTCTAATTGGTCTGTCACTTTCTAGTCTCTCCTTTCCCCATTCAGCTACCATCATTACCAAAATAATCTTCCTAAGGCACAAAGTTGACTATGTCACACACTCCTCTCATCAGAAATCCTTGGTGGTTTCCTACGGTGTGTAGAATAAAACTCAGGCTCCTTAGCCTAGCATTTAAAGCCCTCCACACTCTGGCTGATGTCTGCTTTTCCACACTTATTTCCTATACTCCCCCTTCATTCATTCTACATTCCATCCAGACTGACCTGTTTAGAGTTCTATGGCCTTGTGCTTTTACAAATACTTCTCCTCCATGTCTGGAAAGGCTTTCCCTCCATACTCCCACTTTTGAAATTCTTAGCTCCCTTCAAGGTTTAGCTTAGTTACTACCTCATAACTGAAGCCCTTCTTTAAGCCTCAACTTGTTACTGCTAGGTGACATAGATAGATCACTGGACCTGGAGTCAGGAAAAGCCTGAGTTCAAATCCAGCCTCAGACACTATGTGACCCTGGGCAAATCACTTAACCTCTGTCAGTCTCAGTTTCTTGATCAGTAAAGTGGAGATAATCACAGCACCTGCTTCCCAGGTTGTGAGGATAAAATGAGATAAGATTTGCAATCACTTTGCAAACCTTAAAGCAATATGTAAATGCTAGCTACTGTCACTATTGCCCCCAAAGTTTAAACTCCTTGAGGCCATGGATGATTTGTTTTTCTGTCACCAGAATCTTTGTTGAATGAGTGTTAGGCTTACCTGGCCGACTCTGCCCGGCGGGAGTGAGCCACTCGCAGATGATGGAGTAGGAGAGGAAGTAGGTGGCAAAGGAATTGCAGTCCCGGAACATCAATGCCAAGCTGCCCTTGTAGAGGCCTCCCAAGCCTTCCTCCTTGGCCACAGTCTTCAAGCAGTGCAGGGGACCTTGGTACTTGGGTGGAGGAAGGAGATCACTGGGAGATGAAGAAGTTATTGAGGGACGCTGTTTCTGTGTCTGCAATCGGATTTTGGCCACTTCTGTAGGGGATGTCAGTGTGACCTGGGAAATCAAAGGAAAAGGCCAAGAATAAAACTATTGCTGTATCATTGGGGTGCAGTGAAAAGAATGCTGGATTTGGAGTCAGAGGAGTCCTGAGTTCAAATCCAGGATCTGACTCTTAATAGCTGAGTGACCCTGAATAAGTCATTTAACCTCTTAGCTTCAGTTTCCTCACCTGTAAAATGGAAATAAAAATGCTTGCACAAAAACCCTATCTCACAATCACACACACACACACACACACACACACACACACACGCATTTTTTGAACATATGCAATGCAGGAATTTATTTTGAGGAATTAAGCACATTTGTTACAAGAGTTTTTTCTTTTTATCTTTTTCCCAATGAGGGGAAGTTGTTGGCATAGAAAACAGATTTTTGTTCATTTAAAAAAATTGCTTTTTAAATTCTCTGTCTCACAGGGTTTTTGAGGAAAGCATTTTGTAAACTCTAAAAGCATCATAGAAATGGTTGCTGTCATTATCTTCCCCACACTGCTGTCACGTGAACGTTCTCATAATATGCCCATTTTCAAAGGATTCTCAGAGAAGTTAATTGACTTTGCCCCAGATCATACACCAGAGACATATTTAAAGGCAGTGTCACTCAGCATGACAGCAGCCTGGGGACCTCCAACCTCTCAGCTCAAGGCCTGCCAAAGTTTATTCTAGAAGCCTTTAAATGGGCAGGTCATTCCAAAAGTGAGCAGCTTCTGAAAGCACAGTGAAAAGGCCCACTCCACTCCTCCACCACACCCAATTCCTCTTCTTAGAGCCACTTCTTAAAGCCCAGGCTAATGATGAAAAGCCCTGGGCTGGAAATCAGGAAAACCTGGGCTAACACACTGCCTCTTACACTTGCTAGCTGTGTAACTAACCTAACCTTAGGCAAATCCACTGGACGCTCTGAACTTCAGTTTTTTTCTTTAGAAAAATGGGGAGAATAATACTTGTACTTTCTACTTCCCATGGGGTGTTGTGAGGAAAGTAATTTATTAAAAACTTTTTATTCCCTGGGTGGATGAAAGGTCATAGACAACATTGGAAAGGACCTTAAAGGTCATCTACCCCACCTCCTACTTCATGAAAATTTGTGCTTTACTAAAGTAGAGCATTGGACTAGGAGTCAGGCAGGCAGCTGATGATCCAATCCAAACCCTATCACTAATCCTATCACTAATTCTGGGGGGTGGGGTGACCTCAGATTTTCCTTCCCTGAACCTCAGTTTTCTCACCTGTATAATGAGAGAGTAAACAAGGTTGGTCTTTAAGGCCCTTTCCAGGTCTGACATTCTATGATCCCATGACCTCATTGCTTGCTAGAAGCTACAAATACCAGTGGGATCCTTTGTTGTAGGACTCTGAAGCCCCATGGATTTATTTAACTAGGATTCCTGAGAACAGAGGGCCAGTGGTTTCCTCCCTTACCCTGACAATGCCAGAGGCACATCCCGAAAGGGTGATGTCCATTTTGGAAGGCTTCACGTCCAAGCTGCCATACTTGAGCTTGCAGATGCGAGAAAGGCAATGCTGATAGGTGCCGAAGGAGACCGAGGAGACCAGAGATACTGTGCACACAGGCAGGGAGAGCCCCCTGTAGAACCCAGAGAGCTGGGGCCAAGGAATAAGCAGAAAGAGAAAAAAAGGGAGATTGAGAGAGTATTAGAAAAGAGAATGGCATCAGCTATAGTCTAACTTCCTGGTTTGGAATTTCTAGTTACCAAGTGAAACCTCTTTCAGGAAGCCTTTCCTGACTTTGCTTAGCCCATTAGGACTTTTCCTTTGACTAACCTCTAAGAGCATTTAATGTCTGTACCTCCAACATCAATTCTTATTCTTATCAATCCATCAATCAATAAAAACATTTATTAGTGCCTATTATGCATCAGGTACTGTGCTAAGCACTAGGGATACAAAAAGAGGCAAAAGGCAGTCCCTAGAGGGCAGCTAGGTGGCTCAGTGGATACAGCACTGGCCCTGAAGTCAGGAGGACCTGAGTTCAAATCCAGCCTCAGACCAAACACTTGACATTAGCTGTGTGACCCTGGGCAAGTCATTTAACTCCAATTGCCTAAAAAAAAAAAAAAGCAGTCCCTAGGAGCTTACAATCAAACAGGGGAGACACCACACCATACCATGCTATGTCTTATTGCCCTCTGGCTTTTCTTTGAATCAACGTGTCCTCACACCTGACTTTCTGAGGACAGGCACCAAATGTCATTCTCCTGCCTCCTCCACAGCTTAGCCAAGCACAAGGCCCCAGCACCCGGTAAGTGCTTAATAAGATAACTCAATAGAAGGAATAACCGAAGACAAAACTGGGATGTAGTACAAACAGCAGGTTATTATTACCGTAGGGACAGGGACTGTACCTCTGATTTTGTTAGTATAGTGAACGTGCAGGTGAGGAAACCAGTTTGCTTGTTTTCTCCCCCATCGTATTGTAAACTCCTCATGCACAGGGACTGTCTTTTACCTCTTTCTATATCCCCAGTGCTTAGTTCAGTGCCTGGTACACAGCAGGTGCTTAATAAATACTTATCCAATGAATGATTAAAAATAACTTTGCCCCAACTAGAACTGGATAACAATGGAATCGACTGCTCCTCCTACAGCATTTAGCTCTAGGCCTTAGCCACAGTCTGTGCTCCAGAAATGTAAGTGATCCAAATGAAGGAAAGAAAGCAGGCTTCATTAAATAGTAAATGCCCATTAGTGGAAGGGCTGATGTAGAGGCTGAGGCCCCAAAGTACTCCTTTGATTGGGAGGTTGAATGGGATGATGGATAAGGCTCTTAACTCTACAATTCTCTGAACTGAATTGACTTTAGAGAGGTAGCATGGCTGACTGGTTAGAGTACTAAGCTTGGATTCAGGAAGACCTGAAACTGAATCCCATCTCAGTCACTTATTGGTTGTGTGACCCTGGGTTCTCTGGGCTTCAGTTTCTCCATCTGAAAAATGGGAATAATAAGAGCATACATGGTTCTCCTGAGGATCAAATGGGATAATTTACTTAATCTGTTGTTGTTTAGTCACTTAGTCGTGTCCAACTCTGTGACCCCATAGACTCTTGTATGCTGATACTGTCTGTGGGGTTTTCTTGGCAAAGATTCTGGAGTGGTTTGCCATTTCCTTCTCCAGTGGATTAAGACAGATAGAGGTTAAATACTTGGCCAGGGTCACACAGCTAGTAAGTGTCTGAGGCTGGATTTGAACTCAGGTCTCACTGACCGCAGGCCCTGCACTCTATCCACTGAACCATCTCTATGTCACTGCTATTATTATTCCTCTCAGAAGGAAAAATCACTTCAAAACTATACCCATCCAAACCTAATTCATTTGAATTTTAAAATGAACTTGGCAAACTACCCTTTGGTCAGGAGATGGAGGAAGTTAGAAGGCAGTATCCTTCCCAAATGATACTGATGTTTGCCCTCTGGCTGAAACGAACTCCTAAATGAAATGTTTATACTAACCAAGGGCGTAGACTTACCTTTTCTGCTTTGTACAGTTCTCGAATACAGTTCCAGATGCTAGTATACTTCTTTTCAGTTTGGATTCTGACCTGTAAAGAAGAAAATGATTTAGAGCTTGGCCAGACTCAAAGAAGCAATTACAAGAATTCTCAGGACTTAAGGGGTCACCCCACGGTATCCTCTAAGTTCTGTTTCCAAATCAGTAAAACCAGGAGAAGAGAAATAGAGGGTCAGGAAATTATAGAGGTACCAGGGATTTTAGGATAGAAGATAGGCAGGAATGTGAGAAGAGAATCATGGAAGAGACTAAAAGTCTTGGAGAGTGAAATGACATCCCATCAGTTAGATAAAATGAGATAATATATGTAAAATACTTTCAAAATCATTAAGTGCTATAAAATGCTAGTTATCATTATTATTAGTGTTATTGTAACCCACAAACAAGGCATATAAAAGAAATAGTAACTCTTTAATTCAATGTTATTATATTTTCAATTCTGAGAAAGTAATTTTTAAAGGCTAGAAATTTCCACAGTTCCCAGCCAGACCTGGTATATTATGTACAGATCAAGGTGATACATTTTATTGAGGTCATTATCAAAACAGACCATATCCAGAGGGTAACCAAGACTGTGAGGAGACTAGAAATCATGTCTTCTTAGCATTGGTTGGCAGAACCGGAGATGGAGGCAGGATTGTGCATGGAGTGCTGGACAGAGTCAGGAAGACCTAGGTTTAAATTCCACCCTAGACACATACCCAGGGTGTCACCCTGGGCATATCACTTAACCTCTCTGAGCCTCAGTTTCCTCATTTGTAAAATAAGAGGCTTGGACTGAATGACTTCTAAGGTCCCTTCCAGCTCTAAATCTATAATCCTATGTTTAGCCTAGAGAAGTGATGACTTAAACAAACTGGAAGCCGTCTTCAACTATCTGAAAGACTGAAGTAACAAAGAGAATAGACTGGCTCTGAAATTTTCAAGAAGTCATAGCTAGGGACAATGGGTATAAACTACAAGAAGGTTGACTTCAGCTCAGTAGAAGGAAGAACTCCATAATAATCAGATAATGACCTTCCAATCCCTGAAAGTGTTCAAGCCAAGGCTGAATGAATGACTCTGGGGGACAGGGAGAAGAATGAGGGGCGAGTAGACCTTCTTCTGCCACTCTAAAGTCTCATCTAGCTCTGAGATCCCATAATTTTATAAATGAGTTGGTTTAGGGGCTAGGCTTAACAAGTGAATTAAAACTAATGTTAAGAATTGAAGGGAGGTGATAGAGTACTCAGAGGATCAAACTGGGAAGAGTACTAGAGTACCCTGATGAAATCAAAGTCCCTCTGAGGTACTGAAGTGCAACATCCCCATTGGATCATTCTCCTCAGTGAAGCAGTCACTCTTACAGGTTGGAAACCCAGAGGATAGCTTCCACCTTAGGGTCTAGGAGTAACTCTGGTGAGCTGTACTATAGCTTACAAGCCCCCATTGATGTGCTTCTTTTTAAATAGTCAACCAACTGACACAATTGGCAAATAGAAAAGGTTTCATAAACATGGGCCGGACTCTTAGCTCTGATCTTTATTACTTGACAGATGTTGGTCAGACCACTTCATGTCTATGAGCCTCAGGTTTTTTTTTCCTCTATAAAATGAAGGGGTGGAGTTTGATGATCTCTAAGGTTCTTTTTAGTTCTAAATCCCACAATTCTATGCCTGTAAGTTAGTAATGGTGATTATTATTGAGACAAATGTGTTGAAGATAGAGAGGGAAAGGGGAAGAGAAGTAAAGAGGAAGGGGCAATGGTAACTGCAGGGCAAGAATCAAAGTACCTTCACTGTGTCCAGGGGGTAACCCACAGCAACGCCACAGACACCTGAAAGAAACAGAAATGTTGCAGATGAATGGCACATCATTCCTTAGCCTATTAACTGCCTTAGAGGAATTTATTAAAGAGGCCAGAGAGATGTGAGGACTCCCAAAGAATTAGAGGCCCCTATCACAGTCTATCATGAAGATGCTCTATTCTAGGGAATCTTCCTCAATGGTTCAGTTCAGTTCTGACACCCTCCTCCCTCCCACCTTCCTAGGTTGGATGTGTAAGATATATCATCACCACTCCAACCTCTCGTGTCCTGGTTTCCAAGTAGTATGGAAGCCAATTATAGGCCACATAAGACTGCCAGAGGAACACAGGCACGGCACTCCAGACTGAGGGCCAAACGGCACTAGGGAAGATAGAGGGGGAAAATCCAGGACAACAGCTGAGCCACAACAAGTTAGGTGGTACAGTGGATAGTGTGCCAGGCCTGGAGTCAGGAACACCTGAGTTCAAATCTGACCTCAGACACTTACTAGTGTGTTCCCTAGGGCAAGTCACATAACCCTTGTTTGCCTGTTTCCTCATCTGTAAAATGGGGATAATAATAGTATCTACCTCACCAGGGTTGTTGTGAGGTTCAAATGATGATGATGATGATGATACATTATCTACTTTACTGAGCAGCCTTAAGGAAAGTGCTATGTGAACCTTAAAATGCTATATGAATATGAGTTGTCACCATTTTTTTTTATTATTAGGCTCACAAGAGAGATATAAAGAAAGTACTCTAGGTGTACACAGAAGGGAATGACAACTTCTTGGTAAGGAAAGAGATCAAGAAATGTTCCATGTAGGAGGGTATTCATTGAGATATGCTGCCTCTCTGAATTAAGAGGGATGATTCACAGTTACTTGGTGCTTGGCCTTTAAAAGAAGGAGGAAAAAAGTGGGGGGAGGAAGGGAAAAGGGAAGGAAAAGAAGGAAGAGAGGAAGGAAGGGAGGAAAGAAGGAAGGAAAGAAAAAGGAAGGAAGGAAATAAGAGAGAGAAAAAAGAAAGAAGGAAAAAAAGTAGTGAAAAGATAAAGAAAGAGAAGGGAAGGGAAGGGAAAAGGAAAGGGAGAAGGGAAGGAGAAAGGGACCTAGTCTGTGTAAATCCAGAGCTTTAAGTTTTGGGTCACAGATTACAACTCTATGGTAATTCCTTCTCCTGATTCCATTGGTATCCTCTTCTGACACATCACTGTGGTGCTAATGTGTATCAAGATTCTTAAGGGCATGTCAGTGGAGCACAAACTCTGGAAATTCCTACCGAGTTAGAAAGGCTTCAAGTATGGGTCCAGACTCAGACTTTATGTCTGTCCTCTGAGGACCAGCCCAGAGACATGAAAGTATGAATGGAAAATTTTAAAACCTGACAAAGTTCAGAAAGGCCTAACACAATAGAGTTGTCTACTAGATCATGAAAATTTAGGGTCACAATTCACAAAGACTGTCTAAAATGACATGGAGGGGCTATGACCTTCAGTCATGAAAGAAGTGTATACACTGATAAAATCATAGTCCCTCTCAAGTATTGAGGTATAACACTCCATTGGACTACTCCCCCAAATTAGGCTATCACCTTTACAGATTAGAAACCCAGAGGATGATCTGAGGTTCTAGGGATAATCCTGGTGATATGTACTATAGCTCACAAGCCCTTACCAATGTGCTTCTTTTTAAACAGTCAGCCAGCTGACACATTTAGCTCTTAGCAAAGGCATTTACTTACTAAGAGAGCATAGTGAAAACAGTAGCTACAAAACATCTCCCCTTCCCCAAAACCTGGGGTGCACTCTTACAGAAATACACATTGCATTCTAGGAAAAACAGGCACAAACTTAAAATATAATGGTAATAGAAACAGATATGTTCAAGGCAGCTCACAACTACCGGTTTTGCAGAACATAAAAGTCCTTTTTCTTTTTGTAGAGTCCTCTAGAAACTTTCCCTTATACTCAACAACTCTGCCCGACAGTTTGCTTAGCTGGTCTCCCAGGTTATACATACTCCTCTCCATGGCTTAATTGCCAGGCCTGTCTTTCTCTTGAGTCCATAGCCATCTCTTTTTGCTGCTGCCACCATCTCATTGTTCAAAGCTCTTTCCTCCCTGCAATGACTGCTTTTCTGTATCTGTTTCTGCATGTAGTAGGTATCTTTACTCCCTCAACAACACTTCCAATTCTCTCAAACTGATGAACTTTTGAGCTGGGGAGGGAGCACTCAAATTGCTGATAGAGGCCATGGCTAGTGGGAAGAGGAGAAAGAAATCTCTTCCTGGGCCCTCCCAGAGGTCTCCCCTAACTCATAAGCTGTCTTTTAAAGGTCACCTTGGGAGTGTGGCACTTGCCATCAGTCAATGGAATTCCCCTTCTGATTTCTCAAAGGTGGTTCACATCTCAGACAAAAGCACCTTATTAACAAATTAAAACTCCACTATCACTTCAATTGAGAATCCCATCTTCCCCTTTGATAGGAGGAAGTATAATTTTTCCTCCTTTCTCAATAACTCTGAACCCTAGGTACACAGTATAGAGATGAGGAAAACCCACTGTATTAGAGACATAATACTTCTCAGAGGCAGACTACTTTCCCAGGAATAATATTGAAGGCACATTTAAATTTTACTATTTTTTTTTTTTTAGCAAATAGACTTTAGTGCAGGAAAGAGACCTTAAAGCCTGAATTGTATAACCCCCTCTTTTTACAGCTGATTAAACTGAGGCTCAGAGAGTGAAAAAGTGATTTGTCCAAAGTTACAGAGTGAGTCACTAGCAGAGTTGGGATGAGGGACCTTTTCCTCTGCTAGGTTTCTTAATTCAAAATCATTTCACTATACCACATTGTCATCACCCTGGCGCGTCCTGCCAGCTTTCCACTGATACCCTCATCTGATCATAGATCACCAACATTTGGAATCATTGCCCTTTGCCCTCATTCTTTGGGGAGGCTCCTCCTCCAAAAACCCCAATGTCCTGAAAAAAAATTGATTTGCTATTTCACAAGGCAAATATTGACCTGACACAACACTATTTCTTTTGCTTAAAATAGAATTGTCAGAACAAGATTAGCAGCTCTATTTGGCATTAATTTTGAACTATATTACCCAACTCTGATCTTTAACCCTCTGTATCACAATTCTGCAATGGGTCTTTCCACAGCATGGGGTGGAAAGATTGGGGGTGAAGGGGGGTGTACAGAAATCCCTCAACCACAATATTTTGGACAGATTGAGAATTTGGCCTTTGTGTGATCTCTTTGGGTCTCAATTTTCTCATCTGTCATAGAATTACACAAACTCAGTCAGAAGAGACCATAGAGCTAATCTAACCCAACATTTACTCAAAGTAAGACTCTCCTTTAGATTCCTTACAGGTAATTATCCACCGATTCTTTTTTTTTTTTTTTTTTGAAGATTTCAAGTGACAGAAAACTTACTGTTTATGGTGCAACAAAATAGAAGCTCATGGAGGGCATGAACTGTTCCATTTTTGTCTTCAGATCTCCACAACCTAGTACTATGCCTGATGCATAATTGGTACTTAATCAATGCCTACTTGATTAATTATCTCTTGAAGCAACCCATTTCATTGTTGGCTAGCTCCTATTGTTAGGACATTTTCCCTTCTACTGAGCAAAAATCCCTGCTGTGATTTTTCTCCAGTGGTCATTGTTCCACTATCTGGCCCCAAATAGAGTAAATCCATTCACTCTTCCACTTAATAGCCTTTCACACATTTGAAGACAGACATCATATCCTCTAGTTTTCTCTTTTATCAGCTTAACATCCCAAATTACTTTAACCTATCTTCATATGCCATGGTTTTTGAGATCTCCTTACCATCCTGCTCTCTTCCTTTAAATATACTCTATCTTGGCAATGTCTTTTCTCAAATATGATACCCCAAAATAAATGTGAAACTCCAGCCTAGGTTTGATCAGGGCAGAGAACAGCCTGACTACCACTTTTCTCATTTTGGACATTATGTTTCTATTAATGTAGCCTCAAATTACATTAGCTTTCTTTAACTGCCATGTCAAATTATTGATTCATTTTGAACAATCTATTAAAATCCCTAGGTCTTCTTCAAATGGTCTAGCTCGTCTTCTACACAGGACTGTTGTAAGAATAAAATTAAAGAAAAATATGAAAGTACTTTGTAGACTCTAGAACACTTTGGAAAATGTAAAGCACTATATATATATATATATACACACATACATATATACATATAAATATATATTATATATATGTCAGATATCAGATATTATCATAATCACCATCATAATTACTATTTCTGTTATTAAAGAAGTCCAGTTTCACTTCAGTTTTTGTATTTGAGAAGTAAGGATATATATGCCTGTCTTTTTCTTATTTACCTGACTTAGCTAGGTTATAGAGAGGTGCTATGGATAGAAGACATGGGTTGTTGTTGTTTTTCAGTAGTTTCAGTCATGTCCAACTCTTCATGACCTCTTTAGGGTGTTCTTGGCAAAGATACTGGAGTGGTTTGCCATTTCCTTCTCCAGCTCATTTTACAGATGAGGAACTGAAGCAAACAGGGCTAAGTGACTTGCCCAGCTACTAAGTGTCTGAGGTCAGATTTGAACCCAGGGAGATGAGTGTTACTGATTTCAGGCCTGGCACTCTATCCACTGGGCCACCAAGCTGTGGTAGGATTCAAGAAAGATACTATTCCAATTGCTAGAGGCCCTGTGGGAGGATAGGCACACTAATGTCCTGTTGATAGATCTATGAATTGGTTGAATCATTCTGGAAAGCAATTTGGAACTATACTTCAAAATTCACTAAATTCTGCATGTCCTTTGAAATCAGTGATACTATTACTAGACATGTTCCCCTTAAAGATATCAAAGAAAGAGGCAAAGGGCCCCTATGTACAAAACCATAGCATTTTTTCTTATGCCAAAAATACTAGAAATCAATAGGGTGTCTATCAACTGTGGAATGGTAGAACAAATTATGGCTTATCAATGCAATAGGATATTATTGTGCTTTAAGAAGTGACAAAAGATGCAGATTCAAAGAAAACTGGGAAAACCTGTATGAACTGATACAGAGTAAAGTCAACAAAATCAGAATCACAATCTACAGTGGCCGCAATAATGTAAAGAAAAACAACTTTGAAAGACTTCAGAACTTGATTGAAGCAAATCATGAGTACAGAATACTGATGACGAAATATGACCTCTCACCCCTTAGCAAAGAGGAGGTGATAGACGATATAGATTTGGTGTTAAGACTTACATTTTCAGACATAACCAATGTGTGGGTTTGTTTTGCTTATTTACACTCATTCTTTACTTGGAAGGACTTTCATTTGCTTTCAAAAGGGGAGAGCTGTGGTGGGGAATGAGGAAGAGGAAGAGAAGGAGGAAGAGAAGAAGAATCAATGAAACATTAAAAAATTCCCAGAAGAAAGAAGAAGGAAGTTCAGAATGGGACACAGACAAGCCTGCGTGTGCACTAACATGTTAAATGTCATATGTGGGGGCAGCTAGGTGGTGCAGTAGATAGAGTTCTGGCCTTGGAGTCAGGAGGACCTGAGTTCAAATCCAGCCTCAGACAATTGACACGTACTAGCTGTGTGACATTGGGCAAGTCACTTAGCCCCCATTGCCTAAGCAAAACAAAAACAAAAACAAAAAAAAATGTCCTATGTTCTTAAGCAGGCTGTATGTGATAGAGATTTATGTTTTCATATACAATTAGAGCTAGGAGGGACCTTAGAGATCACTTAGCCAAACCACCCTATTCATTCCATAGAAGAGAAAACTGAAACCCATAGAAAAGTGAGTTGTCTAGGGGAACACACTGAATTGGTGGCAGAGGCTTGAGGCCAGGTGTCCTAGATCCCAATCCAACACTCTTTCTATACAAATGATGCCACTGTCTCACTTATTGACCTCAGTTCCTTGATCTGTAAAATCTGCAGACACTAAGGCCCCTTCCAGTTCCAAAATTCCAGTTCTAGCATTCTATATTTTGTTATATCCAAGACCTCTTCTAGTTCTGACATTCTATGTTCTGTATTTCTAAGTCAGTTAATAAGCATTTATTAAATGCGAACTATGTGCTACGCACTGTGCTATGTGCTGAGAATACAAAGAGAGTCAAACGACAGTCCCTGCTCTCAAGGAGCTCAGTCTAACTGGGGAGACAACATGCAAACAACTATGTGCAAACAAACTACAGACAGGATAAACTGGAAATAACCAACAGTGGAAAGGCACTAGAATCAAGAGAGACTGGGAAAGGCTTCCTATACAAGGGATTTTAGCTAGGACTTGAAGGAAGCCCAGGAAACCCAGGAGAAAAAGATGAGGGAGAGCTTTCCAGACCCCTTTAAGCTCTGACATTCTATATTATATGATTCTAAATCAAACATCAAACAAATTGTTTGACATGATGGTTTCCCAAAGGGTCTTGGCAAACTGAAATATCAGGTAAACTCCTTGAATCTTAATTCTCTCCACAAAATCCACCACTTTCCATGCAAATACTGCCCAGGGTTCTACCTAACACACTGTTCTCTTAAGTGTTATTCTTAACACTTTTTCCTTTCTTTCTTTCTGTCTTTCTTTTTACCTCCAATGGCTCCAGCAATGAAATCCATTTGCAATCTAGAGGGCTGTTTCCCGTGCAGAAATGGAATAGAGGTTCAACCCCAGGGGCAGGAGTTGGCCAGGAATTGGGTCCTGAGAATAGTGTTTTCTCTACTTCCCTTCAGGACTTATATATACAAAGGAGGGTGAATGCACTGTGCTCCTTCATGAATGGTGGGTGGGAAAAGAGAAATAGAAACAATTCCAGGAACATTGTCAATGAGTAATCCAACAAGGTGAGCAGCCAGCAGCTCACAACTCTCACACCCAGAGACTTCCTGCACCCACTAATCTGGATGCCTGCCCCGAGAGACCTGGTCTTGGGAAAGAGTATAAAAAGTTATATCAATCAGCCAGTCCTTTTCCCTCACCCCACCTTGTTATGTGTTTTATAATATTCCAAATTCTTTATTCCTTCTGGAAAGTCATATGATTTAGAGTACAATTATCCCATTTTACTGATGAGAAAACTGAGTGACTTGTCCAAGGCAACTCAGGTAGTAAGGAAATAGAAAAGCAATGATCAAATTCAGGTTCTCTGATTCCAAAACCAGTGTTCTCCACCCCCACCCCACCCCCAGAGCCCATCCAAGAAATCCTCTATGATTCTAAGGATTCCTCTAACTCTGACCCTTAGATTTTAAGGCTCCTTCCAATTTATTCTATGTTTTAGGGTTCCTCTGAGAACTAACATTGTTTTCTAATTTGTTGTTTTATGAACCTTTTGAATTCTGACATTATATGATTCAATGCACAAAAATCCATGATCATGAACAGAGGATAAGTCAGATGGACCTGGTATGGTAAGATCTCTTTAAACTCTGACATTTGATGATTCTGTCCCTGGAGCATAACAAATTGAACCTAAGGCTCAGCTAAAACGTTGGAATCATTCCAAACCTGAGATTCTGGCTGCTGCTCTCAGGGCTAGGCCAGGTCCTAGAAAAATAGTATCAGTAGGAGCTGAAGACCCAGAATGAGTTGAAACTGGCAAGAAAAGCTAAGGACAACAAAAACACCAATGTCAGGAAGAAGAGGAGAACCAAAGAAGGGATAAATCAGCCTACTGCTTGGAGTGGATGAGAGGACGACGATGGGTAATAGAGAGAAGGCAGGCCTCTTCACCTCTGATTTGGTTTCTGCTGTTTTCTGCCAAGAAGAATGGACTGTGGACTAGAAAGAACAGAATAAAAATGACTAATAGGGAATTGAAACTGAAGGAAAATGGTGCAGTAGTAAGAGAGAACCTGCCTGTTCTCAATGAATTCAAGTTAACGGGGCAAGATCAAACTCCATGCAAGGATGCTAACAGAACTGGCAGGTGTGGCAGCTTTGGCCAAGATGGCGGAGTAAAGGCAGCGACTTGCTTGAGCTCCCCAAATACTTGTAAAACCAAACCCCTCCAAATACTTGTAAAAAAATGACTCTAAACAAATTCTAGAGCAGCAGAACCCACAAAAAGACAGGGTGAAACAAATTTCCAGCCCAAGACAGTCCGGATGGTCAACAAGAAGGGTGTGTTGCCCCAGGCTGGGAGAGGAGCGCAGTTTAGCATGGGTTGTGCCAATGGCAAAGACCTGGGCCCAGCGAACCTGGAGCAGGCCTCAAGGGACTGAATCAAGGGGAGCTGTGGTGGTTTCCAGACTTCTCAACCCACAAACGCTAAAGACAACTTAGAAGGTCAATGGGAAAGGTCTGTTGGACCTGGATGAGAGAGAGAGAGGAGCACAGTTCAGCCCTGGCCCTAGTGCAATCCCAGGGCATGGCCACAGTGGCAGTGGTTGCTTCCGGACCTCTCAGCCCACAGACAGTGGTGGGATAAAGGAGCTGATTAGAAGGGGATTGCAGGGATTTCTTTTCTGGCACTGAGGCAGGATTCTCTTGCTTTGCCTGTGCATGGATCTGAGTCCCAGTCCAACATGGCAGTCCTGGGGCAGGGAGGAGCACTCAAATAGCAGAGCTTATGGCAGTAGTAGAGAGGGAACCCTCCTCTCACTTCCAGGGCAGAAAAGAGTGCTTGTGGTCACTCATAGACCAAAACCAAGCTTGTGGTCACTCATAGACCATAGGCCAAGAGAGAAGTAAACACCTCTCCTTAGATCGTGCTACCTTGGAAGAAATGAAAACTTACAGGTCACTAGAAATATCTCTGAAAAGAGCTGCACAAAACCCCTGAATCTTGGGACAGTATACCCTCCACACTGGAAGCAGAGCCTATCTTAACAAAGAGTTAAAAAGTCAAGTGACTGTCTGGGAAGATGAACAAACAGAGGAAAAAAGCTTAGACTATAGAATCTTACTTTGGTGACAAGGAAGATCAAAGCATACAACCAGAAGACAACAAAGTCAGGGCTCCTACATCCAAAGCCCCCAAGAAAAACATGAATCGGTCTCAGGTCATGGAAGAGCTCAAAAAGTATTTTGAAAACCAGATAAGTGAAGTAGAGGAAAAATTGGGAAGAGAAATGAGAATGACTCAAGAAAATCATGCAAAACAGGTCAACAGCTTGCTAAAGGAGACCCCCAAAAAAATGCTGAAGAAAATAACACCTTAAAAAATAGAACAGACCAAATGGCAAAAGAGGTCCAAAAAGACAATGAGGAGAAGAATGCTTTAAAAAGCAGAATTGGCTAAATGGAAAAGCAAATCCAAAAGCTCACTGAGGAAAATAATTCCTTAAAAATTAGAATGGAGCAAATGGAAGCTAATGACTCCATGAGAAATCAAGAAATTATAAAACAAAATCAAAAGAATGAAAAAATAGAAGACAATGTGAAGTATCTTGTTGGAAATACAACTGACCTGGAAAATAGTTCCAGGAGAACTAATTTAAAAATTATTGGACTACCTGAAAACCATCATCAAAAAAAGAACCTAAGACATCATCTTTCATGAAATTATCAAGGAAAACTGCCCTGATATTCTAAAACCAGAGGGTAAAATAGAAATGGAAAGAATCCACCAATCACCTCCTGAAAGAGATCTCCAAAGAAAACTCCAAGGTATATTATAGCCTAAGAGAAAATATTGCAAGCAACCAGAAAGAAACAATTAAAGTATTGTGGAAACACAATGAGGATAACACAAGATTTGGCAGCTTCCACATTAAGGGATCGAAGGGCTTAGAATATGATATTCTGGTGGTCAAAGGAGCTAGGATTAAAACCAAGAATCACCTACTCAACAAAACTGATGTAATCAATGAGGGGAAAAAATTGACATTCAATGACATATAGGAATTTAACGCATTCTTGATGAAAAGATCAGAGCTGACCAGAAAATTTGACTTTCAAATACAAGACTCAAGAGAAACATGAAAAGGCAAACAGAAATCATAAGGGACTTATCAAAGTTGAACTGTTTACATTCCTACATGGAAAGATGATATTTGTAACTCATGAGACCTTTCTCAGTATTAGGATAGTTGGAGGGAATATATATAGACAGGGCACAGGGTGAGTTTAATATGAAGGGATGATATCTAAAAAAAGAAAATTAAGGAGTGAGAGAGGAATGTACTGGGAGAAGGAGAAAGGGAGAGGTAGAATGGAGTAAATTATCTCACATAAAAGAGGCAACAAAAAGCTTTTACAGTGGAGGGGAAGAGGGAGGAGGTGAGAGGGAATGAGTGAATCTTACTCTCATTGGATTTGGCTTAAAGAGGGAATAACATACACACCCCATTGGGTATGGAAATCTATCTTACCCTACAGGAAAGTAGGGGGGAAGGGGATAAGAGAGGGGGGGATGATAGAAGAGAGGGCAGATGGGGGAGGGGGTAATCAGAAGCAAACATTTTTGAGGAGGGATGGGGTCAAAGGAGAGAATAGAATAAATGGAAGCCAGGATAGAATGGAGGGAAATATAGTCTCTCACAACATGACTATTATGGAAGTGTTTTGCATGACCACACACGTATAGCCTATGTCAAAATGCTTGCCTTCTCAATGAGGGTGGGTGGGGATGGAGGAGGGGAGAGAATTTGGAACTTAAAGTTTTAGAAACAAAGGTTAAAAATTGTTTTTACATGCAACTGGGAAATAAGATACACAGGCAAAAGGGTATAGAAATCTATCTTACTCTACAGGAAAATAGAAGGGGAAGGGGATAAGAGAAGGTAGGGGTGTAATAGAAGAAAGAACAGATTGGGGGAAGGGGGAATCAGAATGCAGGCCATCATGGGGTTTGGGGGTGGGGAGGGACAGGGAAATTCTGTAACTCAAAATTTTGTGAAAGTGAATGTTGAAAACTAAAAATAAATAAATAAATAAAAGTAAAAAAGAAAAAAAGAAAAAAAGAAATGTCAGGTGTGATGGCTGAGCCCCATCAGTAATCTTTGAAAGGTCAGGAGAGATTCTACAGTATTCTTCATCTTTCAATAAAGATGAGAGAGTAAAATCTGCAAACCACAGGCAGGTGAACTTAACTTTGATTCCTGGGGGGAAAAAAATTAGAATACATAATTAATGATATAGTTATCTTACATCATAACAAGGAAATAGTCAATACAACTCAACCAAACAAAATTAATTTCCTTTTTTGACAGCATTATAAGAATGATAGATTATATAGATGAATGCTATAGACTCAGATGATCTAGATTTCAGCAAAGCATTTAATAAAGTCTCTAATGCTGTCCTTGTAGACAAGATGAGGAAATGCATACTAGGTAATGGTATATAGTAAGGTAGATTCTGAACTGAGCAAAGTCTACTGAACACAGCAACTGTAGCCACAGAATTAGATGACACTTGCTTAGAAGGAAAGCCATGGCAAATCTGGACAACATACTAAAACTCAGAGACGTCACCTTGCAACAAAGGTCCATGTGGTCAAAGCAATGGCTTTTCCAATAGCAGGATATGGCAGTTGAGAGATGGATTATAAGGAAAGCTGAGCGCTGTAGGATCGGCGCTTTTGAATTGCAGTGCTGGAGAGGTGGAGCCAAGATGGTGGAGGGAAAGCAGTGACTTGTTTGAGTTCTCCCCCCAAACCCTTCCAAATACCTATAAAAAATGGCTCTAAACAAATTTTAAAGCAGCAGAACCCACAAAAAGACAGAGTGAAACAAATTTCCAGCCA